AATTTGCAGCTGGTTCGGTAAAATTAGGTTTCTAGTCGGGCTCATTTAAATAAACTGATAAACGCTATTTTCTCTTATAGAATGGGCTGAGGAAGCCCCTGCAGCTGTATCATGTCTAAAAATCGTATACCGGGGCCGACTCCTGGATGATGACACCACACTTGAATGTAAGAAGAATAATTAACGAACACTCGTGTAAGAATCTGATGACGTTAATTCAGTTTTCTTCTGCAATTTTTCTTCAGCAAATAAAATCCCACGCGGACAGTCCACTGTTGTACATTTAGCTATTAAAAATGTGCAGGATGACGGAAAAGGTTATTATTATTATTATTTTGACTTTGAATTTATGATTTTCTCTTTCAGAGGGTAGTTTAATTTAATCTCCTTCAATCATCTTTAGATTCACAAGATACGGCACCAAAGTGTCAATGTACAATACTGTGATCCGATAAACGACATGAACCTTTTACATTTTAGTGATTCGCTTCCTATTATCGGTAAATTTTTTAATTCCATTTTTGACATTGATTTTGCGAATTTTTTTTTTAAAATTTTCTCCTTGTACATACTTAGGCAATTTATCTGCTAAAATGTCGAAATAAAAAATATGGCAAATCATCTCAACGCATTCCACCATCTTATAAATTACGACCTCCCATCCGATACACTTTTCTGTCGATATTTAAGTTTAATAACAATGTACACTTTTGCATAAAGCACTCAAAAATCAATTTCATTCCATTAGCCTTTATAGCATTAACATTTTTACAGTATATGGGAAAATAAAGGGTAGACTGGTATTTTTTTTTTTTTTTTGTATGTTTTCATGACTTATCTTTAATCCGGTTTCATGACACTTTGACGTGAGCGGAGGTGTTTCGACGTTCGACTTCCACATAGAAACGATTAGCACATGGACATCAACTTACAACAATCGCTTTTATTTGGATATATATTTTTTCTGCTTTTTCGTTCATTCGTTAATTTACTTGGATGTAGAAGCTTTTGTGAAAATAATTGTAAGAGTATAATTGTATTATCAATATATAAATATAGTATATAGTAACAACTGATTGAGCTTGGTTCAAAAAAAAAAATAAATTCACAAGTTATATTTTATTTCATATAATTCAATAAAATAAACCAAAAATTTATATACACCAGATATCTTTTTATCTAAGTATACTGTATCTTTAAAGGTAAAAGAATGAAATCACCTGATAATTTTTTATCCAATTATTATTATTATTATGATATAAAAAAAATTATTGCAAATTTTTTCATATTTTATTAAAAAAAAATAAAAATCAATTCTGATATGGTTTTTTATTATTCAAGTATTATATTATTTCTTTATCATAATAATAAAATATAAGAAGTTATAAAAAATTCTACCAAATCTTTTAATATTGTAATTAATTTTTATAAAAAATTTTTATATTGTTACTGCCTTGAGAAAGCAAAATAAAATCATGTCAATTTAAACTTATAGCAGACTGGGTATTTTTATAAAATAATAGAAATAGAAATAAAATACAAAGAAATAAAAAAATTTTTAATATTAAAAAAAAATCAAAAGAAAATCAAATTCACAATTTATATATTGAAACTTTTAGTTTCTTGTTTACCAAACTTCAAAATTACTAATAAAAATAATTTTCAATTCTTAATAATTTAATTTATTTAACATATATTAGTTTTAAATAATATCAAATAAGTTAATATAAATAATTGAATATTATTGTTTTAATTAAATTTTATAACTTTGTTCTAATATTGAAATCAAAAAGTAACAATATATAAAAATGAATTTTAAAATATATATATATATAAAAATAAAAATATATAAAATTAATATAAAAATTTAAAGTATTTATATTATAGTTCTAGTTGTTTTTTTTTAAAAAATTAAATAATCTTTTAATAATCTTTTGATTAATTATAAATCATTCTACTGTAATTATTTATATTATACATGTGGTGGAATTGAATTCAGACATTTTTCAAAAACCGTATTATGGTAGAATTACTAAGTAACATAT